TTGGTTAGCTGGCGGCGACGACCGCCTCCGCGCCTGTGGAGCAGCAGCCAAATCACGGTTATGACCAGTAGGGTCTCCAAAACGAGAGCAAACGTGGGAGTCTGCCGGAGATAGCAGAAAGTAGAGTAAGCTAAACGTGGGGAAAAGGCGAATGCAAACTTACGTTTCGGAAAATGCTGCCGATTTCGTTGAACAATTGGATGGCCACCATTTTGGGAGTTTGCCTGCGTGCCCTTTCTGTGAAAAATCAATTGAAACCGCCTTAATTCCCCGCAGTTATGTGTCATCTCGACGACGCTTTCTTATCGCAGATATGTACAAGCATATGTAATGTAGCAATTAAGTGAACGACCATTCGGTGCGTAGTTCTTTTGAATTGGGTGTGTAGGCTAACATAAGCCAGTTACCAGAATTGAAATATGTGTACCCACGCCCTTTACCGACGTTCTCTTATATCTAATTTCTATTCAAATCCAGCACTCACCACAAAATTAGTTAACTATAGCAAAAGTCGTGAAATATCCGGCGAAACAGCTGGTAAAAGAATGTACTAAAAAATACCAGTGTGCGGATATCTTTAAGGTTCTTTAAGGGCGAGCTTAAAGCTCCCTAAAGATCCATTGTCAAAAATTATCAAAGAGATACGAGAAATTAAAGCTGATTTAAATTTTTTTTGGCAATCACCGAAAGTTTTCCTATAGTATTATAATTATGAACTGATATAAACGTAACGGTTATTTTCTAGTAATCGGAGTACTTTGGATTTAAAATAAATATCGATACATATCGTACTTTGGATTTTTGATATCGATATATCGATAGGCAAGGCAGCCATTGCAGTGTGACCATGTGCGGGAAATAAGGAAATCGAATTGACCGCCGATCCGTTCAGTTTCCATTCAACAGTTGGTGCGTTCGGTCGGTTGATGTGAATGATCCGCGTTACTGGCGCAATTCGAAATTCGAGTTGGCGAGATAAAAGCCGCGAGAAGGCAGAGAACACCGCAATAGCCGATGTAAACAAAGTGATATGGCAGATAGTGCTGCATTTTGCACGACAACACTATCATCGCATTACGCGCGGATCGAATCGCAACGGACTCTTGTATGTGCACAAAGTGAAATCAGCTGGACAACAAGAGTATTTTGCAATTGCCTTGGCTTATTTTACGCCACTTGCGGCAGTCGTTTACTGTGAAATTAACACTTTTTCTATTGGCAGTGATGGGAAGTGTCTATTTGGGCGTACCTGGCTGGCGATCTAGGTACACTTCAGTCTAGGTACTGGGTACTACCGTTCAGTATAGTTCACCCTACTAAATGTCCTTTTTCATATACTAATTTCAACTGAATTTTATTTATTTTGCAACCTCATTTATTTTTAATACTATTACCTATATTATACTATTACCTATACTTCTTTCAAAGTCATTACTGTACTTAGAATATATATATATATACTGAAGTGATATTAGATACTAGCTGATGCACTGTAACAAGAATACTTACATATCTTGTAGATACCAATCAAACTACTCATGTGATATCACTAGCTGTGGACCAAGTAGTTGTAATCCGTATTGCCCATGCGATAAAGGCAAGCCGAAGTAGTGAAAAGAAAGCCCACTTCCTACTTCTCTTGAACTTGATGCGCTCGATTGAAGCTACATTCGCTACAGTAGTATGTATGCCCACTTAGCAGATAAATCGAGCAATGCACCCGACTAACTCCATGACACAATTGATGCATCGCAGTATTTCCTCGATTAGGTATTTTCGCTTTTACCCGCTTTTTGCAATGCGCAATATGTACGAATATCTCTTCGTGTGTGCGAAAATCGCTGGAGCAACCAGTTTTCGAGCTGCATTTTGACGTTGGCTTTTCTTTTACGTAACTCGCGGCCGGGCACGAGCCAAAAACCAAAATAAATATCAATAATAAACGGCGCCGCGCCAACCCAGTTAGCCGTTTTCACTTCACTTCACCTCACATCACAACACTTTACTTCTTCTTTACCAGACCGACCAATTCGGTCCGGCTTACTCCACAAAACCCGGTGGCCAGCACGTTCCATTATCGCACACATCCCATCCGGAATGCTAATGGAATAGTGGACATTGTGTACCTTTGAGGAAATGAATATATAGGTTCATGCCGATCCGCAGTTCGTTGGCCAAGTGAACCCGTCGAATCGGAAATCACCACTTTGTGCACAGCCAAGTTAAAACGGCCGAGTTCAATGGAAATAGCCTGATTTCGAATTCCACACAGTTTAGTTAGGTGCTGGTGTGCCGAATCTGCCGCCTAAAGTGCCAGATACTCAAAGTGAACTATAAAAAGCAGCCATGATGAGTGGTCAGCCACTTGGCTGGAGGGTTTGGATATTGTCCGGAGTGCTATTAGTGACATTTGCCGGGACAGATGCCTACGGATTTGGACGTTGCCCGAATTACCCATCGATGCCAAAGTTTAACATGAGTCGGGTAAGTTAGCTACTGCCTTTCATATGTATACGATCATTAACCAACTATAATTGATGTTTTTTCGATCGCTATTACATTGACAGCCTGTTTGGGTATCATAAATATTCAGACAGACTTTTGTTTGCAGTCTATACACATTTTTGCAATGCAGATTGGCTCAAATAAACCACCTTTCAAACCTGTTATTAAAGCTTCACTTTATTGACCCAGCTTAAGTGCAATGTTCATAGCTAAATAAACTCTGTTATTAGACTTTATAGAGTATACAGAGTATAAGTATGTCCTTACAACTCCGAGATGCACTGTAAAAGAGTCCACTCATCGCCTATTTGTCATCATCTCAAATGAATCTTCGATTAATTGGCACAAGGCGTCTGCCGCAGACGAAGACCCCTCTTTGCATCTTGTGGATTGTGCAGATGATGAACTTGAACCAATTTAAGGCCAACAAATCCGATCTGCCGTGTAAAATGCAAACCAGTTTTACAGAAGGAGGCGAGCGGCACAATAGCTTTATGGCCTGTGCGATGGTAAACAAGCCACTTATTTTATAAAGAAGTAAATCAACCAGTACCAATGCTGAGACATGGGCACGCCAAGGACAACGAAGTGCACTACAGTCGGGCCCCCCTATTGCGAACATTTTGATTTTCCATTCAATATTTCAATCAAACTCATCTTGCCAAGCCACCAAAATGAGACCAGAAATGTGAAATTTATGTTAGTGCCTATATTTTAAAGGGCTATAAAAAGAATATTTAAAATGATTCCTGAGAATCCATAAATGGACTTTGCTTAGTACTCATAAATGCATGTAGTTGTTTCAGCTATAAAAGCCCGGCCGTTCGCTTAAATATAATGTCGAGATCATAGACTAGAAAATTGGTTCACTCACTTCAGCAGCACAAATTAAATTGATTGAGCCTTGATTTGCATAAAAGATAATGCACCATAATTGGCCGGGTGAGTCGGAGGCATTGTCAATCACATTATGTGGGTCTGGCGACCTCCTCTCCACTTCCCCAAATGGCACATCATCCAATTGAGCTGTTGACAGGCGTGAATTAAGCCACTTGCCACCGGCCCCGCCCCTAAGCGCACTTTTGACCCGGGGCAAAGACCTCGGATGTTCAACAGTGGCAACTTAATCCGATGCGGCGCCCTCCAACTTTGAACTCTCAGATGGGCTGCGGCCAAAAAAACGGCTTTTCTCAATGGACAGCAGCCATAACCAGTTTCCGAAATGTTTACGTTTTACGCATTGTTTGGGCTAAGTGGCAGTTTGGTTAGTAACCCAGTTAAGTGTTTCTCGGCCGAGAGAAACGCTGTGTGACAAAGGTTTTGGATTTCACACTAATGGTTTTCAGATGGTTCTAGTTCCAATCCTTTTTCCAGATGCATGCAATATGCCACTTTTGATAGGTACTTAGGTACTTGGAACAGGAAGTAACATATGTATGTGCCATATGGTTATAAAACTAGAATTACATGTTAGATAAGAAGTGAACAAGTAATAATATCTATTATTTACACGGATGCCATTATCTTTTAGGTCCTTGGACACTGGTTCGAAGTAGAGCGCTCATTTTACCTTCCTGAAATCGCCTCCGGATGCACCACCTTTCAGTTTGAGCCGTACAACAAAGGGGAACTATCAAAGTTTTCCAATTTCAAGCTGGCAGTGGCCATTAAAAACATTAATCGCATGTATGTAAAACTAATCTCTTAATTTATACTTGCTTTTCACATGCTGGCTCTTTTAGAACTGGTAATCCCAATGTGAACATTGGCTATGCGACGCCAGAAAACAGTAGATCTTCCATCATGGACTTTAAGGTATTTACAACAATTAATATTAATAGCACTATATTAACAATTCACTATTTGCTAGTTTACCACCCGATTTCCGGATGTAATTGCCCGTCTGCTGCCAGGTTCCGGAAAGTACCAGGTGCTGTACACGGACTACGAGAACTACGCCATCTTGTGGTCCTGCGGCAGCATAGGCTCACTGGGCCACTCCGATCAGATCTGGATTCTGGGGCGTGATCGGGACTTCGAGGTGGACGTCCGCTCCAAAGTGTACGACGTGTTGAAGCGACTCTCCCTGGATCCAGAAAGGCTGATCATCAGCAAAAACAAACAATGCCCCGAGGCGCTGTAGGATGCTCCCTCCTCTCGCGGCTCAGCCCCCATCTATATGTTTAAGTTCATTCGGTTAAGGAACCAATTACATTTGATGCCTAATCATTTAGGCTGCTGTGATATTGAGGAGTGTGAATCGGCGCAGAGGCGAAGCTACGCAAATACAGAAACAAATAAGAGTAACTCGATCGGGATTTTCAATATATGAACTCATGCCCGCTTTGCCAATTAGCGCGGGTGTCCTAATTAATTTGCAATAAATAGAATTTCCCAGTCAACAGAACTTAGTCGTGATTTATCAACGGATCGAAAAGGTTGTAGCCGAAGAGGATGTCCCAACTGTGGATTTTGCTTTGCCTGATTCTCCTTGCGATCCAGGCACAGAAGTCTGATGCGAGAGGAGGTGGAGGTGGAGGACATGGTGGAGGTGGGCATGCTGGAGGTTTCGGAGGAGGAGGCCGAGGAGGCGGATTCGGAGGTGGTCGCGGAGGCGGATTCGGAGGTGGTCGCGGAGGCGGATTCGGAGGAGGTAGAGGCGGCTTCGGAAGAGGCGGATTTGGAGGACGGGGGCCAGGATTCGGTGGTGGTGGTTACGGTGGACCTGGCCGCGGAGGCTTTAGAGGAGGACCTGGTGGTTACAGAGGCTACGGAGGATATGGCGGATACGCCCGATATGGCGGGTATGCTGGATACGCAGGAGTTCTTCCGGTGCCTCTGCCCGTTCCTTATCCTGCAGCCTATAGCCGCTGCTACTACGATAATTACTATTATAACTACTACTACTGCTGATATGATACGATTATAGATGGTTTATTTATACAAATTACAATCAACACGTTGCTTTAGTTACAAAGATTATGTAAAGTTACCCAGAAATTCGGGCTGTAGACAGTTCTCTAAATATTCCATATCTTATTTAACTTATTGTTTTGATGGTCTCCGGTGTCTGGTTCCTGTTTGTCCACCCAGTGATCAGTGTTCGGTGATCTTCGTGGAGTGCTGTGTGGATGGCAGTGCTTAAGGCTAGTCAAAAATATTCCCATTAAAATGCAATCTACATATGCGCATATATATGTATAAACTTAATCTACAGACTAGATATGGATACGAGACGTTGATGATGCGTTCGTTGTGGCAGACTATTCGATCGAGATCGAGAGATCAGAGGGTTTTATCAAAATATAGTTTCTGTATCGATTAAAGAAAGTTATGAGGAAGCATCGAATGAAAGACTTGGTAACGGAGCGATCTCTTAAAGATATGGAGTGGTCATTTATACTAACTTAATCACAAACCTGTGGCCCTCTGATCTCACCATGTGCGAAAATTCAATTCAATATGCATAAGACGTACGAAAGAGGGTGCAAGGTCGGTTGAATTCAAAAGGGATAGTCTAGGAATGCCATCTTTATCCAATTTAGAGGTAATGAAATTCGGTAATGTTGAGATACACCACTCTGAAGGTCCAAGCTTATCATCAAGTGCTAAGATGATGGCATTCCCTTCTAGCCTGGCGTGTTCATGCGGTTCTGTTGCTTGCCCCAAGGACAACGGACGATAGTTCATGAACTCCTCAGGCGATCCTCTAGAGCATTGCCTTGCACTCGCTCTCGGCGATGCTGTGCTGGATGCAGTGGTTGATCTCGGCGAAGCCAGGTCGCTCACTGGGCTTGCGGTTCCAGCAGCGGCGCATCAGCGCGTAGACGGAGAGCGGCGTGTTGTCCGGACAGCCGAGTACGTTGCCCTCCTTGATGTACTTGATCACCTCCTCGTGGGTCAGACCGAAGTAGGGCTGCAAGGCGAAGGAGAAGACCTCCCACAGACAGATGCCGTAGGCCCAAACATCCGACTCCAGCGAGAACTTGTTGTACAGGATGCTCTCAAGCGGCATCCAGCGGATCGGGATGAAGTCGTTCTCGTCACCTTTGTAATAGTCCTGCAGATAGATCTTGTGCGAGAGCCCAAAGTCGGCGATCTTCACCGCCATGTGCTCGTTGATCAGGCAATTCCTTGTGGCCAAATCCCGATGAACGAACTTTCTCTCCGAAAGATACAACATGCCCGCCGCAATGTTGGCCGCCATCTGCAGCAGATGCAGCTCGTTCAACTGCAGACGATCCCGTGCCGGAGCCTGGTGGGTGGCATATGGGGAGCAGGCGCGCAGGAACTCGCTGAGATCGCCAGGCGCCATGTACTCGAACAGCAGGCACATGGGTCTGCCCAAGGCGCACACACCCAGCAGCCTCACGATATTTGGATGATCGAATTCGGCCAGCAAACAGGCCTCCCGCTCAAAGTCCATCTGCATCTGGTCGCTGGCGTCATCCTTTAGCATCTTAACAGCGACCAGAAGATCTTCCTGATCTGGAACAAGTCCAGGAGCTCTGGCCTGGAAGACGCGACCGAAGGCTCCTTGACCCAGTGATCTCACGTACACTATATCCCCGCGTGGGTACTCCAACTTCTCCAGGCGAGCGTTCGGTTTTGTGCCCTTCGCGTCGGCCACGTTGGTCACGGTAGTAAGGGCCACGCAATTGCTGTGAACCGTGGCCGTGCTCCTGATGGTGCCCCACTTTGCCAAGGTATTCGTGTTTCCATTGCCTCCGAGGGTTTCTCTGCTGGTATTCAGATTGCCGCCACACTCCCCACCTCCACGCATGGAAACACTGCAATCGGCAGTGGCTGCGCCCGGAGGCTGGGAGTAATCCTTGTGCTTGGACAGCTTATAAACAAGCAAGATCATCAAGTGCAGCGTTACAATGGCCACGAAACCTATTCCAGCCAGTAGAAAAATCATCGACGGCGTGAAGAACTTTTCCATCTTGATGGGCGTGTTCAAATCACCAGCATTGGGGTCCACATAATCCGCTGAAACGAAAGTGGGTGAATTACATGACGTTGTAGAGGAAACGAATTATCTGATCTTACGGCACATAGGTATATCGCAGTGCTGCCAGCGCACTGATTCATCCACAGTGTAGCACCAGGGATGCGGTTCCTCGCCGCCAGCATTCCGGCAGTAGTTTTCGCCCTCCAGGAGCTGATGGAAGACCAGAGGTGGCTGGAAGTGCTTGTGGGGGTACTGCGTGTCCCAGCGCTGGCAGGGAATGCCCGACTTGGACACGTTCATTGTGCCCATGTAGAAGCGTCCGTTGCCATTGCGGCAATCGTCTGTGAGAAAAAAAGGGTTCTAGCATCAGCAAAGCCTCCTCAAGGCTGAGAGGTAATGAAGACTCACAGCTCACTTCGGACTCCTTGAGTTCGGTGAGACCGATGTAGGAGCAGTTGGGTCGCCGCATGGAAGCGTTGTAGTGCGGCAGGGAGGAGCAGTTGGGTAGCCGAAAGTGGCCGCGGCTCTTAATGAACATGTTCCGCTCCTTCTTCTCCTCGATGAGCACCCAGTCGTTGTAGCAGAATTGCAAATGCGTGGCCTGGCAATCCTCGAAGCAGAGAGGAGCCTTCACTGCTCGACCGCCCTCCATGTGGCAGTTGGGAAACGCATAGGCGCAGAGCATTTTCTGTATCGGGAAGAGATTAATAATGGAAGTAGCACACGGTTTTAAAAATCTTTAAATGAGAAACTCACCTCGGCTGCCTCGCGACACAGACCCGTAAGATCCGAGATAAGCTCGTCCCAGAGCGCCGTGGTCACCTGCTCGTTCTTCCATCCGCCGGTGGGATCCTCCAGGCTGTACCACACCTGACCGGTGAGATACTCCTTGCACACCTTGCCGCTGTACGGAGCGCAGTAGCCGTTCTCCTCCCGCTCCCGCTCGTGATGCCGCTGGTGGTGGCGCCGGCTGACGGGCTCCTCGATGGTGTTCAGAGAGTTCGCGTGCGTGACGCTGGCGAAGAGGAACACGCACAGCGCCAGGACAGCTAAATTGGCCCCCCATTTGAGCCCCATTCCCCGGAGCACCCGCTCAAGCACCCACACCCCCACCCATTGCCCGGCAGCCATGGCTGTGTTTTATGTATATGCCTTGTTTAGCGAACCGTTTCCAAGCTAAATCCTAAATCCAGGCACTCATAAACTAAGGCATTTTACCGGCTTACACCACAATATGCCGACTTCCCGAATTTTACAATAGTTTTAAAGAAGCAAATCGGAGTTAGTCGGTAGGATATTTGTTTATTTCCGCGCTCACAGCTCGACGACGCCTTTTCACCGAATACCACACAAAGCTAACGACGGGATGTTTCGCCACCCGTACATCTCCCTTAGGGGTGGTTTCCTTTCCTGTCACGAGAACAGGGTTGCTAAATGCGCGGCAAAGGCGCCGAGAGTCCTGTGCTCGGGCTCGGATTGGGAGCTGCACTGGCGAAATGCTTGTTTGTTTATTGATACTAATTTTTCTTCTGCTTCTCCTCATCCTTCAGCTGTTTCTCCCTGAGCTTTTCCTCCTTCTTCAGCTGTTTCTCCCTTAACTTCCGCTCTTTCTCCCTCTTCTTCTTGATAGCGGGATCATCGCTGTCGTCATTGGGATCCTTTTCCTCCTTCTTCTCCTCTTCATCGGGAATTTGTTCGAGTCCCTACAGAAAAAGAAGCTTTACACCTGAGGCAGCATACAAATCTGTGGAGAACTACAGGAAAAACTCAAAGACGACCATTTCAACTATCACTTCCGAACTGCACGTTTCGTTTATTCACTTTGCACTTAAGCTTAGACGGAAAACTCTACTTAATTAAAATTAGTTCGTTTTCTCATCCGGTATGGCATCCAGACCCTGCAAGAAAATTGGTACGGCTCTTTATAGATGGAATAGGTTCATAAGCTCTTCGGATGAGCGTGCGAGAATGGGTTGGATGAAAGTCGAATAACATTAAGTACCGCCACCAAGGCTTAATACCAAGTTAATAGACAATATAAATGAAAGTACAGTATTAAAATACGATAAATAACAGAGTCGAAAACAAGTTAATAACACCAAAATCCATCTATTTAATATACTTTATAGAAAAACATAAACAACGAAACAAAAGGAGCGTGCATATTTATGGAGTGAGTGATATGAGATAACCAAACTGCTGACAGAAATAGGGCAAAAACGAGCGTGATAGCTGGCCGGCCGTACAAAAATCAGCTGTAGGCAAGCCAGACTATAGCATACCACTTACGTTCATCTTGTAGGGATTGTCGGTCAGTCGGAAATCGCGCTGGTACATAACTCGGCTGAAACGCTCGTCCATGTTGCGCCGGAAAGCCTGTGGAGCATACGAAAACTATTAGAAACTCCGTAGCCAGTGTCCAGTGTTCCGTAGAACTTGTTGCGAACAGCAGGCGGTTGAATAATGTTTAACAGATTCCGATTGGTGCACAAACAGCTGCGGTTATATAAGAATTTCGAGCTACTCGGGCAGAAGGCCACCGTGGAACTCACATTGCCGATCGTCAGCTTGTCCAGGCCGTACATGGCGTATATGGGCACCGAGAGGAGCGTGGTGATGATCACGGCACCAGGTAGGATTTCGAACCACATATTGTCGGGGAAATAGATTGTTATGATATTTTCTACAAGACGACACCCAGTGTGACCGTGTATGGACCGTTCCAAATTACAGGTATCCCCACAAAATATACCAAAAACTAGAATGCTGAACTAGAGGTGGGCCAGTAACGATAAGAAAGTGACGGTGACTGAGTTCTATGCTGCTACTTCGATTTGAAAAACGTGAATGTTTTTAATTTTAAAATCGCTTTGAATAATAGTTAGTTGAATTAATTTGTAATAGAAATAATATCATTCAAATGTTCTTTGGCCTGATCTAAGCATGATCTGCATGATAAAAGCAAGTAATTATCAAATTTGCAGTACCTAGTACCATGTTTACACAGAATCGAAGTTTTATAGAAACCAATTTTCAGTGTAAGGGCGTGTGACCGTTTTACGTTCGATACAGATTGGCATTTTTC